TGGTTAACACAACTGCCTTATAGACAAATATTTTAGTAGCCAGAGTCGTCCACTCAAACCACCAAAAGCAGCACCAGCCTTGGCAATCCTAACCGTAATTTCATCATCGATTGCAGTAGTGTTGGAGAGGTAGCTACCAAGGTAGCAAAATCGATCCACAGCGTTCAACTGCGAGCCACCAATAGTTACGATGGCTTTAGAATCCGACGAAATAGGATAGCTTTGGTGCAGAACCTCTGTTTTTTTCCTGCTCACCGTGAGTCCAAACCTTTCTGCAGTAGTGTGGAAACAGTTGAACAGAGTCTGAACTTTACTTTGTGTATGTGCAACCAAAGCGCAGTCATTCGCAAAGAGCAGGTCGCGGACTATTGTGGTTTGTGTTTTTGATTTTGCGTGTAGGCGTCTGATGTTGAAAACGTCTCCATCCATGCGATAGCAGATTGGAATGCCCTCTACACAATGTTGAAAGACGACTCGAAGCATTAGGGAGAAGTAAATGTTGAACAGCACGGGAGCCATGACACACCCCTGCTTGGTACCATTCGTCACCTCAAAGTCCGGGGATCGATCACCATTTTCAACTACGGTTGCCCTCATGCCTTCATGGAAGGAGCGAATAATCGACACTAAAATCGGAGGACAACCGATCTTTTTGAGACATTTCCATAACGCTGAACGGTTGACGGAATCGAACGCCTTTGTTAAATCTATGAAGATTGTTGTGACTAGACACTGCCAGTAGTACCCTCTACCTGTGCCCGTCGCCACTCGCCGCAGGACTTTGTTTGCACATCCATTCAAGCATCAAACCACCAAGACCACCTTCACACTGGTTGATTTAAGTGGAGCATGTTTGTGCGGCATGCTACACTCTCTCCTCCACAGGGGTCGGTATCAGCAGGCACAACGAGTTGAGACACGCCGAGCGGCCAGTGTGGACGCAGAAGTTTGGATGAAACTGCGGTGCAGTTTTATCCTCGTAGCCAACTATCCTGGCTAGATTTTTAACTGGGTTTACTCCCAGGCCTTTCCCAAGCGTGGGTATAGCCGCAAGGCTGCGGAGGTTTGAAATCAGAGTTTTCCTTCTCCTAGATGGTATTTCCTTACGAGCGCCATCCGCCCGGAACCTGGTTTAGGCGCCAGTAACTCGCCTTCGCCCTCTCCTGTTAGTTAGTAGCAGCCCCCGCCACGTGCAGGAAGGAGTAGGACCTCGATGGTCGTAGCGCGCACGCTACAAGCCTTTAGTGGCATTTTGTAGAACTGGGGAGTTCAGCCCCCAGGTCACCACCGGCAAACCATCGCGTTTGGGGACCAACAACAACAATAATAACAACATTAACAACAACAACACTAACCACAACAAAAGTAACAGCAACGGCAAAACCAAAACTAGATCAAACGGATTAAAGATCAACATTGACAAAATTTTCTTAACATCAATCTTATCATCATTACATTATCATCAACCACGCCATCATTATCATATCACGTAGTATCCCATCACTAATAAATACATCATCATCGTTATCATCACACCATCAACATCAGAATTATCGACACATCAACAACAATAACAGTGGTGCATAAAATCGATGAAGACTGCAGCAATGACAACAGCAACTGATTTAATAATCAGCCGCGGTAACATAAGAAACAACATTTTAAGACACTTGGACTTGTGACTCAGTGACCGAGTTTGACCACAACTACATACCTTGTGTTGCGCTGGTTCACGCGTATTCTATTTGCGCAGCGTGTATAACTATGTTAGCAAAATGAAACTTAATTTTTCTAATTAGAAGCTGATAAAAACCAATCAAATTCTTTTGTTATTTCCAGTTCACCAGCTCACTGAAGTGTTAACAATACTTTGCAGAAACAAAGTGAATCTTCTATAGCAACTACAACATTAACAGAAAATAACACCAGAAAGAACAGCAGCAATAACACTAACATTTTCAACTGAACAACAAAACCCTGCAGGTGACTGAAATGGTTGTGCTATCCAGCCAATCACAAAAAATTTTTTCTAAGAAAAATGTTCCATATTGAAACTATGCAAGCAAACAAAACATAAAACTGACTTTATTACATTTTTTCTATTTACATTCCAACTTTTACGTAATTATGAAATGGGGAAAAAGTCAGAGAAGGAGAGAGAAAGAAAGAGACAGACAGACAGACAGACAGACATAAAAATGTTTTAATACTCGCTATATAAATAATTTTATAGTAATTGTAAAACAAATCCACTATTTTTATGACTCTGTGTAACTTTTAATACATAATCGTATGCATTTCTTGTTACGCAGTGCATCAGACACGTCAGAAAGTCAAGTGTCCGGTACATTTGTGTACTGAAGTTCTTACATTAATATTGTTGTACTGTTAGCATTGGCATCGGAGTACACTGAACTTTCTTACACTTCGTTGTTTTTAGTTTCTGTTTTCATTTTTTGCTGGAATTCAGCTATTTTTAGTTGTGTAAACATCTACTGAAATAAATTGAAGCGTGTATCTTAAGTTTGATTTTTAAATATGTAATCATAATTAAATGAGATGTTCTTCATAAATATATTTTTGCATAATTATAACCTGTGAACAACAAAACGATCTAACCATTAACAATTGGCACGATCAATGAAAAAATATTTGTAATCAAAAAATACTCAAAGAATTTTCTTATTGATCAAAATCGAGAGGACATCACGACGACGATGACGGACGATGTCATCAACATCTTTTAACGTTGCTCTAATGAATGAGAGCCGGGAAAAACAAAAACAGCACTAACAAGTTGAAATAACTTTTTGAGTGCTTCTATAACGGTTCGTGTGACATTTGAAAGTAATTAAATGGCGCCGCGTACCCTTGTATGCATAGGATAAATTGTTTTCTTCCTTTGTTATTGTGGCTATATTGCCATCTCATGCCGTAATTGAGAATAAATTCAGCTGATGTTTTAGTCCGCTTGTTGTTGTGCAGTGCTGTATGGTGTTACACGGTGCTAAGCAATGTTCAGTGCTAATAAACGTTGACTCAATTTTCTTTGCTTATTGACATTTATGAAACTTACTCATTACATTTGTTACCTCACGTTGTTATTTTGCCCCAAAATATTTTTTTCTTCAAGTTGTTAATTTTAACGTTTTATGAATTTAATGAGCAGGCAAACTTTTCAAGTGGAAAGGTACCAATTTTACACCTCAGATATTTTTTCATTTCTACGTACACTACAATAATTTTTGTATTGAAGTCTTTTCCGCCAGACTGTGAATTTGTATGCTAAAAAATAACTAAACACCCACACACTTACTCACACACGCACAATCTTACACCTACACACATATTTTCAAATGTGAATGAGCGATCACGACTACAGCAGCCACACATAAAGTATGCAAACGCCTACAAGCATGTTACAAACCTTTATTTCACGCTTCGAATGACGTTTAATAAAACGCTGTGAATCACACGGTTGTTGACATTTTAACATTTGCTCATCTGGATTCATCATTAATGTTTTCTTATTATTCTCATTTCAAAATAGACTACACAATTTTTATATTTAAAATTTTCCAATTGTTTGACGTAATGCGTTGCGGTAAAGAAATAATTTTTACATTGACATTTTAATATTCCTATTTTCAAATTTATTAATTTATAAGTCGATCTTTTTATTGAAAAATAACCCTTAATTTTTATTTTATTTTACGATGTATTGAATCAGATTGATGGGTGTGTCTGTCTACACTGGAGGCAGTTCTCGTATATTTCTAAAGACCACCATACATTCCAGTGCGTTAGGGTATTGACTGCTTGTGCAGTTTGTTTTCTTGCGTTATGTTTATTTCGATTTTTCTGTACATTTTTTGGCTGACAAATTGTTAGAAAATAAAAATTTTCTGAAAAAAGTTAGAAAAAATAAAACAAACACATTTAAGACTAAAAGGAAAACAATACAATAGACTCCATTCAAATAAGAAGAATTGGAAAATAATGAAAATAAAACAGGTGATCATGCAAGTATTAGTAAGGTTGAAAAGAGCCACCAACTTCATTGTTCGCTTGTGCTACATTCAAGAGTTCATTCAAACGCAAACACATTCAATTTCGCCCGACTCAATTGTTTTGATTGTTGAAAAGAAACAATGCAAAATAGTATTTACAACTTTTCTAAAAAAAATTGTATAAACATTTCTATTTAACTCTAACGTTTACTTTCATTTTCATCTGTTAAAAAGTTGACTTGTGTGCCTATGTTCTAATAAACAATCAACCAGCAAACCATCTAACCAACCAGTAAACCAGCCAACCAAACAACCAATCAACCCTCTAACCAACCAACTAACCAACCAATCAACCAGCTAATCGATAAACCAACCATCTAGCCAACCCGTTAACCAATCAATCGTCAAACCCTGACTGACCGGCCGAGAGTTCGAACTGCCCACACATTCGCACATGTACTCGCACATACACGCATATTTTTCTACGTCGTAACAAATGGAAATCATTCATGCTGATCTGACAAATGACATTATTTTATATATTTTTTTTGTCATTTTATTTTTTTCTATTTAAATTTTTCATTCTTTTAAATATTATATTTGCAATATTTTTGTATTTGTTAATATTAACATTATATTTTCAAATGTTTTCAATTATTATTTATTGCAAATGCTAAACTTGAAATTTTTTTTGAACTTTCCCTATTAAAAATTTTAAAACGTTATTCAACAAAACACCGAAATTAAAAAGTTTAATTAATTAAAACATGCCTCGTTTCGACCATTTATGAAATTTTTAGTTTTAATTTCTCCAGAACATTAATCAAACAGAACAATGACTGACTGAATGATTGAATGAATTAATGAACAAATATTTAATTCACAAAAAAATTATTCTGTTAAGTTAGATAACATTTTTCCTATAAAGCGAATAAAAGCTATCATTTTATGACTAATTAAGTTGAAATAATGCAATGAATTTTTCGTTAAACAGAATTGTTCCATATATTTGTCGGTGATTTAAGCCCTGACGCGGAGACCAACCAGTTAAGAGAAGCCTTCGCTCCTTTTGGACAAATATCGTTAGTTCACTTTTCACCATTCAATTTTTAAATAAAATTATACGTTTTTTTGTTTGATATTTGAGTTATTTATATTATTAAAACTTTCCTCAAACTTATTTTTAAGTTATTGTATTTGTTTAAAAGTTTTTTTTCAAAGTTTTTGTTAATTCATGAAAAAATAATTTGTTGTGAAGTGGTGATGAAAATAAAAAAAACCACCACAGCACGCAAATAATGCAACAAAACAAATGACTGACATTTTGATATTTGCTCTTTTGCTCGGGCCTTTGGTTTTTGTTGTATTGTTGTTGCTGTTGTATTTCGTCGTTGATGTTTTAGTTTTGTATTTTATTTTTTCTTTTGTTTCATTGGGAGAAATTCCTTGATTGATTGCGTCCGCCCGTTCATCTGCTCTTGTTTGTTTTTTTATTTGCTCTACTCTCAACTTTTTGGCTCAAATGTTTTGTGTTTCACTATTTTTGTTCACTCTGCTGGATATATTATGTTTGTATTTTTGGGATCCTTGGGCTACTTTGTTGCTGTGTTGTTGTGTTTGTGTGTGTGTGTTGTTGTGAACGTGTGTTGACGTGTGTGTGTGTGTGTTGCTGGGTTTGTGTGTTGATGTGTGTGCATCTTCATGTGATTTGCTTCTAATACGTTGTGACATTTGTTTTTCCATTTCGTTTTTGCAATTTCGTTTACCTCTTTTTTTTTGTTTGTTCGTTTGTTTTTATTCGTTCCTATTTTAATCAAACATTTAAAAAAATTATTACACATGTTTCGTTTATACAACTGTACAGAATAAATAAATGAAAATATAATTAAATATCACTTCAAATTAAAATATAAATGCTTATAAAGTTTATTTGCTAATGTATTAAACATTCAAACTATTATTAAATAATTTTCATAAAAATTTACCGCAAGGATCGAATGAAATAAAATATTTTTTCTATAATTATAATAATTTTTTAGAACAAAGCTAAATCATAAAAATGTAAAAAAAACAAACATTTTAAATTGGTGATTACATTCAATTCTTTAAACTTATAAAACTCGTGATGAAAAACTCATGAAGATGGAAACGAAAAAAGAATTAAATTTCAAACTTCAAAAACAAAATGAAAGCATTTCTCTTTTCTATCGTCTTTTTCCTTCATCTGCCATTTCACGCTTGAACGCCTTGACTATTCGACCGAGATGCAGTCTTGTCCAGTCACCACTCTCTCTCTCTCTCTCTCTCTCTCTCTCTCTCTCTCTCTCTGTCTCTTTCTTTCTCTTTCTTTCTCTCTCTTTCCCTCCATCTGTCTTTTTGTTCTCTTTCTATTTTTTTCTTGTTTCTTTCTTTTTCTTTTTCATCTTTTGTTTTCTTTTTTTTCTCTTTCACTCTCTCTTGGTCAATCTCTCTCGTTTCATGCCATTGATACATTTATCATTTCTGGAAGGTGATTAATCTACAAAACGTCTTCAAAGGAATATCTCACAAAATTTATGTCTATTTATAAGCATAAATGTATTTACATAACCGCACGTGCACATTATACTGCCATGCGCTCTTCACATCAGTTCTCAAACAAATTCTTTTTTTCCTAAGTAGATATGTCTAAGCAGGTACCTGCCGGTAACACACATGCATGCATACGTACATACACACGCACACATGCAAACATACTTACAAACAAACACACACATGCATACATACTTACATACTCACGCATACATGCATGCATACTTACATACACACGCACATACAAACACGTACATACGCACATGGGTTATTTATATAGGCTCCATCGTGCAAGTTGCACACAGTTTGCTTTTGTTAATTACCGCAGTGAAATATTATTTACTCTAATCTAATGTTTCTGCTTCAATATATCTTACGATACGTACACATACACATTCATGTGCACATACATATATAAAAACACATTTATGTATACATGCATACATACATACACATTCATCTTTATACACATGGATACACGCACACACATAAATTGTGTTCGGATGATCACATGTATGAATGTTTCTATCTTCAATCAGTTGCTTTGAATTCGCATTAATCATCATTGAAGAATTTTAATGATAATGTTATAATGATTGCACGTTCTGTATACCTACATACGTATGCAAACCTTGCTGAACATTCATTTGATGCACATACAAACACATCCATTACAACACACACATACAAACACTAATGCACAAACAAACGTGTACACTAACGTACGCGCACTTACACATATTTCTATCTATCTATCTATCTATCCATCCATCCATCCATCCATCCATCCATCCATCCATCTATCCATCCATCCATCCATCCATCCATCCATCCATCCATCTATCTATCTATCCATCCTTTCTTTCTTACCCTTCCCCTATGATACAATGTATAATAAGTGAGAATGATAGGAATCATCAGAGTTGCAAAAGCACACGAGCGCACACGCACTCACAGACGAATATTAATTCGTAGCAATATTATTTCCGTTTGGATGGTGCGGCACGGAATTTTATATCATCCTCATTTATCACACCGTTATGAAAATTCCGCTGATTTATGTGGCTTATATTGTTACTAACATTCAACTATTCCTCTTTAAATCAATAAAAGTATCGAACGATGTATAAATAAATTACTCTTTGCCGTTCATCTCGAAATGCGCCTTGAAGGATGAATGATGTCTGGAAATATATCGGAGGGGTGTGTTGTGTTTGTTGTTGTTGGTGGTGGTCAGCGCCACGAATATTGAAGTGGCAGTTTGCGAAATTGTCTGTGACCAAATCTTATTAGCGCTATAATATTTTTTTTTAATTTTAATTGTTATTAAGGCTGCTTTGTAATAATTGTCTATATATTTTTCTGAAATCTATTTCATCGCAATTATTCAATTTATCTTGGCAGCAGCAAATTTGATGTTACTGCTGTTGTAGCCAGCATTCTATTTAAAAAGTAAAATTGTTCGTTTATAAATCATCACCATCGTTCCAAAACTCAACTTAACCATAAAATATTTATTGAAAATTGTGCCACTGAACGAAGGAAAATAAATTTTTTAACGTTGGAACACTCTCTCAACTTGTGCAAGAACCTTTCCATAAACAAAATACAACAACACTGACTGTTCGTGAATAATGCTAATGACACAAACGACAAACAACAACATCTTTAACGCAAACCACAACAACTACAAACAAAAACAATTACAAACAACGTAAACATAAACAACTAACCACACAAACGCCAAACAACTGCTACAATGGCACAACACCACTAACAACAATTAATAGACTCGACAACTAGCTTAAAATGTTAAATGATTTAAACGCACTCTCAAGCAGCAATAAAGAAGAGTCCTGACGAACAATACATCCATACATACAAACTGACAAACAATGCGTCTTCGCACCACATTGCTATTTACAATGACCATGTCCACCACTACAACCACCAACAAAAACCAACAACAGAAACGACACCAACAACAACATCAACCACAACAAACAAACAGACAGCGAGCGACAACAAATATATGACTCTATATTTTCTTTTATGGTTTGGTTTCAGTTGGATCTTAGGAGAGGGTCTTCCGAGCTAGGAGCGCATGAAAGATGAATGGTTCACAAATAGATAAGGAAAATTGGATTTATATGACATTCATTATGTAGTGCTTGCTCTCAATGCTTTTCAGTGTATGTGAAATATGTCCTATATGTTTCTAAGGTTTATTATGTTAGAATATAACTTCGATATATGTCTATAAATAAATAATTAAATATTTATATATTATTACTTTCATATTTTTTAGAAATAAATGCTGTTTTTTATTATTTACTTTGTAGTTTTAATTTGACTATTTTATTCAGTATTTCGTTTTACTGGTTAAAACAATTTTTTCCAGCATTCGAAATGTTTGCACCTCAGCTGTTTAGATAGCATTTATTCCGAGATCACATTTTAAACATTTTATTTTTGTACAAAAACATTTGTTTTTCATTATAGAAAATATTCTTTCAACGTACGTAAACCCATCCTCACAGTGTTTTAGCGTGTTTTGTTTGTCTTTGTGATGTCTTATAAAAAGAGAAAATTTATCTTTCAACAATGGTGCAGATTTTTAGCTAGACCAACCGACAATTAGCTTACAACCATTTATCCTTTTCTTGTATTTATAAGTATTTTTTATTTCACTTGTCACTCACCAGCATTCCTCCTACCTACAACATTTCTTTCAAATAACTTAGTGTGCCTTTGATACAATGCACCATTCTCTATTCATTAGTTGGTCTCTCCAAATTTTTTTTATTTTGAGAGTTCCCCCAACTTCCAGCATCCGGCCGCCAATGATTCACCACCACCACCACCCCTACCTCCACCACCACTACCACAGCAGCAGCAGTCGCAAACACAAACAATGCTCCTATCGACGTTCTCATTATTGATTGCTCTTCGCGATGTCCTAACAAAGTGAGCCAGATAAATATGAATATTTTGCTTTATTTCGCCATCAAAATTCGCATGAAGTATTTTTCAGGGTGTTTTTTCTAGGATTTATATTTCTTTTTTTGTACACTTTTCAAGATTTGGCGTTTTCACGTAATCTTGTTTTTGAAAAATTTCGTAGTTGCTTACTTTGCTTTTTCCAGAATTAATTTGAACTTTTCAAAGATTTTTAATTTTATTTTTGTTCATTTCATTTATACATTTTAAAAACTTAATGTGATTTATGTTTGTTATTAAGAATTTAATTAAATTTAAAAAAAAAGATTTTAAAGCCTTCTGACGTGTGGTGCAACTTAAACGACAAACTACTAATGCGTTTAGGCTGCAAAAAATCATTTCAAAAACGTTATAAATGCTATTGAAATGGAACATTTTTTATGTTCCAAGCTTACACACACACACACACACACAAACAAACATATATACATACATACAAGCACACATAAATACAACAAAAAATACAAAACACATACGTGCATGCAGACAAAAACATACTCATTTACAAATT